TTTCAGAAGATTAACTTTACACTTGGTGTAATGAATCCCACTTTCTAGATCCCAAATTAAGCAGAATTCAAGCTTAGTTACTAAAGAGATTATTACAAACTCCCTGCCTCCAAAACACATGTAACATTGAACGCTGTGAAGGTTCACATCATTGGCTGAGCTGTCCTAAACTGAGAGATGTCTTCTGAGAGATGAAAACAGCATTGTGTACCCCAAAGGTAAGCTCCAAGCATATCCATAACCTACCAGCATCCTCCAGCTACTGCCAAAGGCAGTCTCACTCCTCGATTTACTTTAAAGCCCCCTCACCAGAAGGGACTGCCTGCAGCCAGATGGAAACTAAGATGTGGCTGCTGAGAGACGAAGTCCTCAGCCTACAGATGGGAAAGCAGAGAGGTGGAACCCAGCAGATGGTGGGGGCAAGGCAGGGCACCAATAGATGGCCACATTCTCCCTTTCTAGCTGTGGCTCAGAGCAAGAAAGAATCATTCATAACTTTCAGCCTTAGAGCCACACTACAAAAAATGACAGTGTGCCCTAGGAGCTTCCCACTTAAAGAACACTTTGCCAGACAGCAATATGCTGAGATGCCGCACCGTTCAAAACTTCTCACTCTTGTCTAAAAGTAAGTAGTGCAAGTCCAACCCAAGTGAATTTCAGGGAATCCTTTGCTGAAATTCCCATTTACTCGGCTCCATGTTCTTACATCATGACAGAACAGCTAACCCCTGAATTTCTGATTAATTGTTGATTAAATATTCTTTGTAAACTACCAAAGAATCAAACAAACAAACAAAAATAAAACCACACTCCTCTCTTTCTATCCTTGAACCTTTGACCTCACTGCCTGAGACGCGAGGGTAACAGCTGGTCTGGGTTACCAGATTGAAACAGAGCTGCTGTAGTATGCCGTGAACCTGACCTATCATCTGTAAAAATACCCTCAAGCCTTTTACTAGTGTTCAGAAGATCTTACCAAGGGTGCAAGTCAGTCTAATTTCCAGTACAGGAGCAAAAGTTCAAGATTTTATGCAAATAAAACAAGACCAAAAAAAGTGTTAAAAATTTTTTATACAAACATTGATCTTTTTCTCTACAGAAAGTAACCTTTCCCGATTATTTTATATTACCATCATTTATGCCAATCCCCTGCATTTATATATATACAAGGATACAAATGTTCATAAATGTTTCATCTATATTTGTGTGTAAAGGAACACACTGTCCTATGGTTCACCATTACACTGACTGGTAAGATCTGGGACACAGTCTGGGGAAAGACAATATTCTCTTTATTCACAAGAAAAAGCTGCTGCAAGAATGATAGACTTAAGTGAAAGCTACCAGCTGGCTGGCCTGTTAAGAATACAATTGCACAAATAAATCTGGAAGTTTCTTGGTTTAATCAGGCCATATGAAAAAGGTCAGCACTGAAAAAACCTTTCATGCATTGTCTGGTTTTAATAAGGGGCTTTAATATTCATCAGTTTAAAGACTAAAGGAAAAGGTTGTTTCTAAGAAGATACTAGATAGCATTCTTACACATCTGAGTTGCCACTCAAAAATGTAATCATGATTTATTAAGGACTGCAGAAAATACAATCAATGGCTGTTCATTTTTATTCTGACCCATAGCAATGTGAGTCCTGAGCAAGAGACTGAGTTACCATGGTCTGAGCCTCCAATTTCATCACCAGATCTTGTATATTCATAAAGATTTGTATATTCACAAAGTATGAGAAAAGCATTAGATAGGAAGTGATAGGCTTCCACAAGAACCCCTTTCTCTTTTCTCCAGATGTTTTAACACCATGAGGACCTAGAGCTAATGGTGGCATCCCTTCCACTGAACACACTAAGATTTGCTCCCTTTTTCGCCTGAACTGCACCATCATTTTATTTTCTAAGTTTCATGTAGCCATTAAAATACACTATTTCAGGTTACATCTTCCATATACTGCATGTATATTCTATTTCTAAATAACACTTCTTTAAAAAAAGAGAGAAAAGAGAAAACTTTGCTGCTAAAATAAGATATTTTGGTTTTAGTATTGGTGAGTTCAAGCATGGAAAAGAACAGAGCAAAGATTAACTGAAAGTATTAACAAGAATGAGTTTGACACGAACTGTTGATCCTAGCAAACAGCTTTGTCACGTTTCTATCAAGTTCTTTGTAACTGAAAAGGTCTTGTTGAAAAACAGGCTCTGAGAGTGCGGGTTATTAGGATGTATATTGATGTCCAGTTTCCCTCTAGGCGTGCTGGTAAACCCATCAAGCTTAGATAATGCCATTTCACTTGAGCAGTCCTTGGATACCAAGCAACAGATAATTAACACAAATCAATTGTTCATATCTGTTCTTTAAGCATGCTGTTACCAACCCTCAATTTCAAAAAAAACCAAATAATTTATGAAATAAGAGGAAATATTAATCGTTCTGTATGAATCACTCAGCAAGCTCAGACTCCCAAAGGGCTTCAGCTTGGCAGGACACCAGTATACAAACCATCTGGCCTGCCACTGTATGACTTGGAGCTGGTTTCTATAAATGACAGTGTTTAAAGAATTGGAAAGACCTTGTTGCTGATGTAAACCATCATCTAATCTTGTACATCAATTAGCAGAAAATTATTTGCTATAATATGACTATCATTTCTCATTTGCCTATTCAGTGTTAAGATGAAATGGAGTAGGACAGAAGTTTCAAAAAGAAAGCCTTCAGATGATCCATCTTTCCTAGGGCTGTTGTAGGTAACACTGTAAATGAACGTTGCTAAATCATTAGCATTCCTCCACTGCGGTATCTAAAATCTTGCATTTTCACTTAGCAGAAGTAAAAAGCAATGGATAGAAAAGTTAGAACTGTGTTATCTGCACATCTTTAATTTTTTTTTATTATTGTAGGAAGAATGTATTTCTTAAAGAATTAAAAAAAACAACAACAAAGGATTTTAATTAAAATCTATGGCTTGCAAAGCAGAGCTACAAAGTGCCAGCAAATAATCTATTTGCCTGAGGAATTTCTTGAGTCCACTACATATTATGCAGCTCCTTATTGGTAATATGGCTGTAAGTGTCTATTCCCACAACTAAAACTGTGTGTGTCTGCCAACCTTACTCAGGAAACAATTAATTTCAACAGAAGGAAAAATGGGGCCAAATAACCTACTTAGCTGTAACACGAAGCATAATAGATAAACCAAAGTTATCTTTGATAGAAAGAGACTGGACTGAGAAAGGCTTCATTTCATGGTAAGATACTATGGTATTTATGACAACGGGCTATCTTACCATCATACAATAATATTATTAATACCCTTATTATTAACACGCTTCATATATTATCATCTGACCTCTAGCCAACCTGAGCTACCAGTTCATGTAATTTACTGTCAGCAAGATGAAGCTCCAAAAAAGTTTTCGTTAAGTGCTGATCTTTAAAACATCATTTTATCAACATGAAAGTTATCGTGTCAAGTACAGTGTTTTTCTACATTGAAATATCCTAGTTTTAAATAAGACAACTCGTGGCAGGACATCAGATTTATCTTCAGAACTGCTGGCCAGCATTAGAAAGAATAGGAAGACAGATGAGATCAGAATTCCAGCTGTTGGATATTCATAGGTGTCTCTGCTTAAACAGTGCTTTAAAACATTATTTTCAGAGCCTATTTCCCCTGACATGTGGTGTGTATTTTCTAAAGAAGTTTTGGATGAAGACCAATTCAGTTACTGCTGTAAGCAATTGCTCTGCTACATTACTGAGCAAATTAAGGTGGGTTTCCCACAATGAGGAGTGAATATGTGCATTAATACTTCTTCAAAACCAGTTGTTTTGTTTCTGGCTTTGTAGGAGCAGCATCAAAAAAGCAATAATGCATTATGCATCAATTGGGGGTAATCAATGAAGGCAGAGAAAAAGCACAGAACAGTATCACAAATTAATGTATGTTAAAAATGTCCTTTCTTAATAAAAGTGATTAAAAATAAAGATAGCTAGGAAATTTGAATAATTGAGTTTCCAAAAATATCAACCCTGGTTGGTAGGATTCCAACATAAATGGCACTTAAGTGTTCAGGTAATTTGCAATCATGCTCTGTTAAATTTTCCAGACTCAAGTTATCTTGGCTCACACATGCCTCCTTCCTGCTCCCTCCCATTACCCCAGGTTCCATCAAAGGTTCACACAGCCCAGACCACATCTATTTCTGAGTCAGGCTCACAAGGAAGCTCTACCACAGCTATGCTAGAGCAGCTGGCCTGGCACTGCCTTCACTTGTGTTTACTGTGGGTATATAGGAGTTTGCCATCTCAGTATCCACCCCAGGAGCTCTGTTATGGTACTCACAATGCCCAAGCAGTCATCTAAAGAAGCACTCTGAAACAAGTCCAATAAAACTGCTAAAATTAAACCGGAATTTGAATAAAGGGCTTAAAAGTAACAATTGAAGGATGGTGTTTTATGGATAGTACCATCTACAGGAACACATAGAGTATCCTGTTGTAAGTCAGCTTATTGAAAGAAAAAAAGAAAAAAAATCCCACAACATTAAGGAACTACTAACAGCAGAACTACTGTCACATTTACATAAAGTAGGAATTTAGGAAGTCCATGCCACAGTATCTCCTTAGGTTCCTGTTGCTCATGCCAAATTTTTTTCAGAACTTGCCAAAGCACTCTGAAGAAATGGGTTGTATATAAAAGCAAAAGTGATTTAATAGATTGTTTCACAGTTAAAGGAAAAACAAATCATAGACAAGTGGTAAAGCAAAAATTGAGAAGCAGCCTGGCTGTTGAAAACTCTGCTGGTTTCAGTTATCCAAAGTCTTCTAAGAAATCCCGATCATAAAAATGATTAAAGCTCATTTTCATGTAAATTTTCCAGACACCTCAAACATCTAGTAAAATATGTTTGGTTTAAAAAATAAGCAGAACTTTTTATACATACGAAGTAGTATTATAATGGGAATATCACATTGCTAAGATGCTTTACCTTGTTTTATTTCTGAGCTTTTTATTCTTTCCCATGCAGCTGATTTCTTCCCACAGGATTTCGACCTTTATTACTTGCTGACAACATGTCTGACAAAGAGCTTTTTGCTGTGGTAGCTGAGGTTGAGCCATCTGTTTTTTCTCTAGAGAGCCATGCATTATTTGTAATGACATCTTTCTGTTTAATTCCCTGGGGAATAGCACTTGCATGCTGATTTCCTATTTGACCCCCAAATACATCATCCCATTTGGACAAGCAGTCCCTCCCCTGCATGGACCAGTCACGCTTCGAAAGCTCCAGTGTGTCCTTCATCTTTGGGAGTGGAGGCCAAGGTGTTTCCTCATGAGTCATGGACAGGTTGGGGCCAGCCTTTGAGTTTGTATTGGAGGAGACAAATGAAGGCATCTGAGGAGGAACAAAGAAAACATAACCTTGGACCTCCTGGTGTATTTCTGTATCCCATATGAAAACGTGTCACTCTGGACATTGTGGGTGATTTCAGTTGTAGCTTCCTGTATAATTCTACAGTATAGGTCTGTGTCATGCTCTCCCCGTGATTTAATTAAAGGACACATGGTGTAAATGTATTAAAAAAATAAATCCAGGAATTATCAAAGATCAGGGTCATCAAAGAGCTGCTTGCATTCTGTTCTCCCTAATAATTTTCCTCTACAACAATATTTTCATCAATCCTTTTTATATACGACTGTGATAAAGAAGACCACTGGGAAATCAGTTTAAGCTGTCGCATGTAGCCCCTAGATTAAATAATTATGAGTTCTATATGTTACCAGAATTCTGAGTCAACATTTTTAATATAATAAACTTCTTAACTAAAGAGAGACATTAATGTCTTACATGATCTTTTTTTTAACGTAATAGTTGAAAAGTAGAAACTACATACTGCTTGTTTTATTTCTTTTATTTTTACAAGGAAAATTCAGTAGAGCAATATTCATAACTGCTCTAGCTAACTGGCTCGAGTAATTACAAACCCAAATTTTGTTTCTTTATAATTATGGAGAGGTTATGTTGTCTTAGAGAGGGCAAAATCTCTTGCGTGTTTAGTTTAGCAGCAGCCTGTCACAAATGCAATTGCAATTGATCAACTTTGTTCTAAACAGGATTCCCGCAGTTAATGGAAATTACTGTAAGAGCTTCAGGGCATAGGAATAATTGGATCACTAAAAAAACAAAATGGAGGGAAAAAAAGGTAGGACAGAATCAACATGATAATTCCTCTTTGGTTTTTTTTTTTTTCTTTTTTTTTTAAACATCGAACAAACTTCAGAGATAACCTTAGCAGAACATATAGCATGATGAAAACAACTTTTTTATCAAACCATTCTTAAGCAATAAGAAAATGCATAATGAAAAACGTCAAGAATTTCAGCTTGTTTAAACTAATGATAAAATATGCATCTCTGGTAGAGACCATTCAAATATTTATAGGATCAGTAAAATGACTGTCAAGAACAATACATTTAACTAAAATAAAAACAATGAAATAAACTTCACTGACCTGGCAGATTCTCTGATGGTTTTGTCTTAGTTCCTGATGCAAGGTTATGATCTTCTCTGGACCTGTTAATTTTACAGGAGAACTGGTGTATATATTTGGAGTGATGTGAGAACTGTGGATACCATCTGCCTCTTGCAGGAAGGTTACAGGTATCGACCCTGACATTCTGCTCTCTCTGACTGAAGCTTCATGATACTCTGACTGTCCACTGGCCTCTGAAATGTCTGTGGAAGAAGGCAGCATCTGCAAGACAAAATGTCATTTTTAGAAACTCAGAGTAGATGAAGATTTCCAGCACTGTTTATTTTGAGTAATTGGAAGTGGATTAATTCATTGCAAGAAACATTCACAGAAATCAAATGTAAAGTAATGGTATTTATCAAAGTAAGAAATTAATATACCAATTACTTAAATTGTGAGGCATTCCTATTTCTTTCTAAAATGGAATCCTGCATTCCTCAACTCTTCCCCAAGAAATAAAAATTCCAAATTTGCATCTGAATATTTAGAAAAACTAGAAAAACTAGAAAAAAAACCACTAATTTTAAAGATTTCACAATTTATCCTCTTGAAGGATTTAAACTTCTATAGCATGTTTCCTTCACACATATTCTCTTAGTCAGCAACAAATCCAAGCTTGTCTACTTAAGAATGCTCAAGGAAGTTAAGTTCAATGGATTTTAAAAGTTCAGTTGCACAAACTCTTTGGCACATCCTCTTATTCCATATTTAAATCAACTTAATTGATTTTACTGTACAACAATAAAACTGACATTAAGACAGAAATGTGGCTTGATTAATATCGTACCTTTTCATAATAGTTTGCCAACAGAAAGAGCAGATTTCACTGCAAATAAATGACTATCACAAAGAAGTAGAATTTTGTCTTAAATTACAAATTTATTAATGAAACAAGATTAATGATACATTATTTTCCTTGTAGTTGCAAAGAAAATGAATTTACAATTGTTAACAATACTTTCAGCCTTTAGGTTTTTGCTTATTTGAATTACTTCCAAAATTAATGCACCTGATTTTAAGTTATCACCTCATTGTCATTAATTCTCTTGCAAAAACTCCAGAAATGCACATACTATAAATCCAAATCAGGAATTGTTATTTAAGATAAAACACATTTTACTTAAAGAAATGTATTGCTTTTTCTCTCTATGTCTTTAATAAGCATTAAGAACATCACTTGTGTCCATTCAAAAACAAACAAACAAACAAAAACAAGCAAGGGATTCTGAGGTGTTATAATGATGTAAACTTGTTTTGAAGTGATCCCCCAGATGTAACTATCATTTATTGGCAAGGAGATCCACCAAAATAAAATGCTGTGACAGTGTAAAGGAGAACATACAGTGTGTGAATTGCTGCCATTGCCAAGGAAAGAAGTTTCACCATCTTGCAGAAATGATAACCATGGAGCTTTATGTGTAATATGCAACTTGCAAGGAGAGCTCCAATACCAGGATCAGAGCACACAGATGCCAGATGCCAGTGGTGCTGTATTGTGCTATAGCCTTGGAGGTGATCCTCAGGATACAAGCTAGTCTGACCTGAGAAAGCTCAACAGTCTTCTGCCCTGCTTTCAAAACAACACTTTTGGCTTTTAGGCTCCCCAGAGTATGTGTCTTGTGGCTCCTAAATTCACCAGTGCACTGGTAACCTGGTCATAGGGTCAGGAGTATGAATTGTGCCTGTCCATCTCCAGATCTGGTGTACTGCAGGACAGAATCTTCCCCAGGACACACCACATAAGAGAGTGTGAATGACAAACATAATTGATGGACACTGACTTTGATCCTATTGCGCCTTACATTCTTGCCTCCTCATCATAAGAGGGGGGAACCAACGCTGAATTCTGGCCATTGATCCCATTAAAGCACCAAATGCAATTTGTTTTGCCAGCTGAGATGACAACTACTCCTTGACAGCAGCCACCACCTGTCTCTTTTACTTCAGGCTGAGCAGCAGGTGGGGCACAGGACAACAACATCAAGGAACTGGAAGACACAGACTTTGCTGCTCCTCCCTAGAGACCTTGCTTTTTCTCTATGCTGATCATACAGACGCTCTGTGATCTGGATAGTGTTTATTTAGGCAGGGTGGCATGAACACCCAATGAAATTGTAGCATCAATGCCATCAGTTGGAAAGCAAAAGCTATACATCTGGATGTTCGCCTGTAAACACTGAAGCCAAAGGAATCTCCAGAAGTCCTTGGCTTCTAATCCAAGTTATAAAGGCAGTGACTGTCACCAGCACTCACAAAAAGTGCTGGCTGGCAGAAAGTAGTGGAGGGGTTACAAAAGGCAGCCCTGACATGGTCTGAGCCATGAAGAGATTGGATCTAAAATTATTTGATGATAATTTCCTCACTACAGGAAGCACAGTTAGAGGCATCCCTAGTGATGGATGAGACTCAGCAGGAGCAGCACAAGTTATAGAGTCCAATGACCCGTGCAAAGGCAAATCACTGTCCTCCTCAGTAGGCAGGATTGCTGCTAAAGCTACCAGGAAAAACAGAACTGTAGCAAAGCTGCGACAGTCATACATTCCATTGTTAGTAAAAAATAATCTTTTTCAAGTCTCTTTCTTCTATTTCCCTCAAATATTCAACTCACAAACTCTTTTGAGTTCCAGGATTACTGAGTTCTGCTGCAGCCAATGCATCAAGAATCAGCAGAAATGTGGCTTATAAGTTAGTGCAAACCCTGATGAGTGGAACTGCTACCACCCTGACAAAGCGTTCACAGAAAGGTCTGTATATGAAAGCTGGTATGATTCTCTCAAAATGGTTCATCTCTAGCATTTCATAAGGCTTTGTGAAACAGTACAAATCACTTTACGGATGTAGCCAAGCACTATATTTATGAACACAAAAATGTCAGATTTTTGTTTCATTGTCTATGTGTGAATTTCTTTTATTAGATAATCATCACACTTCACTATTAACAGTACTAATTCTATTTTACTTTGATAATTTTTTGCTTTCCTTTAGTGTTTCCACAAATTATCCCAGCATGGAAAAAATGGAAGTATTGTGACATCCCCGAAGCTTGGCAGAATGAAAATTTACACTTCAAGTCCTTGAAAGGATCACTTTCTAAAGAACAACAACAAAAACCTATCCTTTCTCATATTACAAACAGAAAAAGATACTGGTGTCATTGATAGAATAAAGTTTGAGTTACTGTGGATAATTTTAACTGAACATTTTATCTTAATAGAAATTCTAAAGTTAGTTTCAGAGTTAGTTTATTTATTTTAATCATGGTTATTCTACCACTTCTACCACTATGTATTTTATGTTCTACTCTACTAGAGCAAAAACCACTGCCAAAATATCCCTATTATGCATGCTGTCAGAAAACAGATCTAAATCTTTGTCAGCCAGACCCAATTTTACTTAAAAATGGTGCTAACCTTGAGTATATACCAACTTCTCAGTCACTACAAATTCTTGGGATTCCCTCTCTACAGCCATTTACATAATTATTGAATGGCTTTATCAGTTATTCCACTGGAAATGACAGGTTGCCCTTAACATTTTTAAATCCATATTTTATATCCTTCATTGTTTTAAAATATTTTTGAGGGTAAAAAAAAACATCTCTCTGCAATGGATTCTACCCTTCTTTAACAAAATGACTCAGTAAAAACCACCATCGTGGTTCTTCCATCTGCTTGGAATTCCAGTCAACTCACCTTGGCCCCCAGAAGACTGAAACCTCAGAGTCCTTCACTTTAAGTGTGGGACTTAGCTAGCATATCTCTTTCTGACTCTTGTTACAACAGAGAGAAAGTCACTTTTTAGACTTTTCTTACCACATCTAAGCAGATAAAATGAGCAGGGTAACTGTTTGTCAGTGCCTCTTTCTTTTCACTAACAATGGAAAGAAGCAGAGTAACTTTCACAGGTGTAGCTGAACTACGGGCATCAAACATGAATTGCATCTCATCTGAGGTGTCAGAAAACCTTCTGATCTCAATACTAATGTACAAATCATTTTATGGAGAGCATAAGAGTATATTATTGCAGGCCTGTTTCCTTCAAATATGATTCACAGGAAAGTGGTAAGTGCCTTCTTGCAAAAAAATATAGAGAGAGAACATACATATATAGATCTGTATATATAAATAAAAAACATTGTTCTGCTGAAAAGTATCTCTGAAGAAATCCCCTGATAGAAAGGATGATTAGGCTACACTGCTTTGCACATTTATTTCCATTCTGCAAAACACATAATTCACTGCAATGGACACATTCTCTGCCTGGAGCTTTCCATGTATGAGGTTTAAGATGACTCCATGAAAGGCAATAAAAAGTACTACCATTTATCGTTATATTCACTGCACAAATCACCTCTTGGATCTGAGAAAAGGGGGCAAATAGCCACAATGGCTTCAGATCCTCTATGGAAAGAGCATTCAAAATACATCATCAAGTCAAAGGCTTCCTGTGCAAGAGAAATTGAAGTGATTGAGTACAGCAGCATTATCCATTACAACCATTAGTCATCTGAATGGAGGCTGTTGACATAAAATCAGGACTGCCTGGCTCAGACATTTGTAGGAAAGAACTGAACACACTCCTGTTTCTCCACACACACCCTACAAGAGAAAAAAAGTGCCTGAAAATACTGCACAACTGCACAGTGTGGGGTGAGCTCATGTGAAGGGCAAGCCAAGCTCTCTTGCTCATCTGTGTCGTTCTCCAACATACCAAAAGCAGCATGGAGACAGCCTCATAGATGAGGCTGTCAAGTCTGTTTCTTAAAGTGCAAGTAGACACAAAATTCAGAAAAAAAGTGGCGGCTCCTATTTCACATTTCCTGTTATTAGCTATCCGAAACCTCTCTTCCTTTCCACTGTTACCAGTTCAAGCATGTCAGCTATTGAAAACTCCAGTCCTAGTTTTTTCTGTCACCTGTCCAGGAAGTACAAATATATACTATCAGCTGATGAAGCTGCCCTATGTGCTTTCCATTGGAAAGGGCAAAGAAATAATAACTGTTAATAACGTCCATTAATTAATCCTACTTCAGCAAGAAAAGTAAGACAACAAATCCTTTCCAGTTAAAAAAAAAAAAAAAGAACATTTAAAAGAAGATCATGAAAGTGGGATGTGACAAAAGGATGAAAATGGAGATTTTTCATATATTTTGACTGATGTTGGGCCTATGAGCCCCAGCCATGGCACTGTGCTGAGGGCCACATGCGCCTTCTAGAAGTTGCTCTTGCCCCTGGCACGTGCCTCCTCTTTACAGACCACTTTTTAATTTCCAAACACAAAATAAAAATTTTAAATTATTTCTGTTGTCCAAATTTATTATCACTCTACGACAGGAATCTCCAGAGATTTCTCCATTTAGGCATTTCAAAATGAGAATATATCTCAAAGTCTAGAAATCACTGAAGTTTACTTCTTTGCGTCTTCTAAAATCTTGGACTAGATTGTTATTCCTTTGTCTTCCCAGGGAGCCATGTATTTTTTCAGAATTGAAAGATAGTAATGATTAAGCTTTTTTTCAAAACCCTGCACAAAATCTTTGCTTTCACTACACTTACAGTTATGTTTTCTCTGCATGAAAATGAATTTAAATAAAACCTTAAGTATAATTACATACGTTTATTATGATACACTAAACTAAAACTAAACTAATTACACTAAATTAGTAAATTAAATTACAAATGAAAGCATTTCATGGTGGACAGTTCTACAATGAGAAAGTCATTGAAAGTCTAGTTCTCCTTATAAGGACTTTCAAAGTATGTTAAGAGAAGGAAAATTGACTTCCTTTTCTAAATAGATTAAAAGTTGATGCTTTTTTTGTGTTTTTTTTTCTGTTTTTTTTTTTTTTTTTTAACAGATGGCTGAAACTTATATAAGAACAAGGCATACTACATGATTCAAGAAAATTTTAGTTCTCACCCCAAAATATTTGATTGTAACATTGGACTGTGAAAATAGCTGAGGATGTCAATCCTCAGAATGAGTGCAGTTCTGCACTGCTGAACTAAACTCATTTGAAATTTCCAGTTTACTGGAAATTTCCAGTAAAATGAAGTCATTGGGACAACAGTGATTTACAGTGACTGAGAACACAGCCTCCAATGCTGTAAGTGAGGGACATATCTAAAGATGTTTGGTTTTGCATGGCATTGCCTTAATGTTTTACTATTAGAGATAGGTATTTGGAATAAAAATACTTCTGGCAAACAGAAGAGAATGCCCAACCATATGCTGTATCCTGAATAAGAAAAGGACTAAATAAACTTTTTTCTTTATTCTTGAGTAATGTGTTGACGTTCATATGTCCTCTACTGAAGCCACACCACCCTTACACACAACTAGGACAGACTGATCCTATCTTCATGTATTTACACAGTTGGTTATAAAAAAAAATAATAATAATTTTAGAAGAAAATCTGTTTGAGAAGCAGGCACATAATTTTTTACTTAACTATGCAAGACCTGGCACTGAATTCAATGGGCTCTGGGATCAGCCCTTAGAATCATAGAATGGGCTGGGTTGAAAAGGACCACAATGATCATAGAGTTTCAACCCTCCTGCTATGTGCAGGGTTGCCAGCCACCAGACCAGGCTGCCCAGAGCCACATCCAGCCTGGCCTTGAATGCCACCAGGGATGGGGCATCCACAATCTCCTTGGGCAACCTGTTCCAGTGTGTCACCACTCTCTATGTGAAAAACTTCCTCCTAACATCTAACCTAAACATCCCCTGTCTCAGTTTGAAACCATTCCCCCTTGTTCTATCACTCTCCACCGTTGTAAACAGTCGTTCTCCTTCCTGTTTATACTCTCCCTTCAAGTATTGGGAAGCCACAATGAGGTCTCCCCGGAGCCTTCTCTTCTCCAAGCTAAACAATCCCAGTTCCCTCAACCCTTTCTCATAGGAAAGGTGCTCCAGCCCTCTGATCATCTTAGTGCCCTCCTCTGGACCTGCTCCTAGCTCCACGTACTTCCTGTACTGGGGACCCCAGGCCTGGACGCAGTACTGCAGATGGGGCCTCACAGAGCTAAGTAGAGGAGGACAATCACCTCTCTCTCCCTGCTGGCCACCTTCCTGCATCCTTGCAAACTTTCAGTTGAAATCCATCGTTAAGCTAAAGCAAACAAGTCTGAGGTCAATATGTAACAGACATCCATTTGTCACTGGATTCGGAAATGAATAAAGCCAAGTGCAAATCTATATGTGAAGAAGGAAAAAAAAAATACGTCCACCAAATTTTCTCTGGAAGCATTCAAGTGTTAGGAAGATTTAGAAGTTAATATCTCAGAGGAGGAAAAAGAATGAACTTTCAAAGGAGTTTTATGTCATTAAAAGCTGGAAATCTTAGATGTGAATAGCAATGAGAATAAGAGTTGAGATGAAAAACATAACTCTTAAAGATGAAAGTTCAGTTCATTTTAATACATGTCTGCAGAAGTCACACAGAACTGTGAATATGAAACATTCCATTCTCTTTGTGATTGCAACTACTTATATATATATTAAACACGTAGAAGGGTCAATTGGATATTTTCGCACCATGTTTCCATAGGAAAACTTATTCATGAAAACCTATATATTTTTTTTTTCATGGGAACACACAAATCTGCCTTGGCAGGAAGGTTTTCCTCTCTTACATAGGGAATTACTTTCCACAGCCAGCTGAAACATCTGGACCCAGAATGATCTGAAGCTTAGCATCATGTTGCTCAGCAAGAGCCAGGCTGTTTTTAGCAAGATTCAGAAAGCAGGTGTGAATCCCTATGTCCCCAAGTCCTGGTGGAACCTCTGGCCAATACAGTGCTGGATACCATGTGAAAGGATTTGTGCTCTGCTTGGTGAATAGCTAAATGTCTGCTGAAGCAAGCAATTGAATTTGGAGCTCCTACCTCCCAAATTAACTCATTAGCCATCCAGACAATGATTCAATTTAATGTTATCCTGTTAAGAGCTGTTTAGTTATGTGACAATTAGGTATTCAGGGAGACAGAGTAAGTGTGCCTTACTATATGCTCATTCATCACAACAGTGTTTGAGAAAACATCTGAAGGTGATGAAGTATTGTCTACATTTCTGACAGAAGAGTTACTAACTTCCTGTCACACAAAACACTCATTCTTAGTGTGAGCTTAGGTAAGACAGTGTTGGGACATGTCTTGAAACACTTGCAAGAACATAGCTATATACAAAATCCAGTCCCATCCAGACTGTTATTTTTTTTTTTCTTTCCTTTTGATTTCTTCTTCAATATGAGTCTCAGATTTCTCACGAAGAAAATGCAAAAATACTATTAAAACTCAAATTGCATCAATTATCTTGCATTATCCACCAGGTCAGATATTTCATCAAAGTATTAGCTAAAAGTTTTTTGCATGGAGCACAGACATATCTGGTGATGAGCTCCAGAATATTCAAACCATGACTAAAATTGCAGTAAAGCAACCCAGTCTGTTGCTTGGTCTGAAGCAACATTAAGCGACCATAGATATTTTATAACTGTTCACTGAGCCTCACTAAACACTTCACAAAAATCAGTGACAAAATGGCAGTGGAAACCAGAGGATCCTGAAAGGACATGCAGATGCTTACCTCTTGATTACACGTTGTTGTAAAAGTGGCTGTGTACTCTGCAAGGGCAACGTCGTTCACCAAGCTTCTCACCTCTTCATCGAACATGGAGTTGTTAAATCCTCGACGGTGAAACTCGCCATGCATCCTGACAATGAAGCTGTTCCTTTCCTGGCATTTTCTGGTCAGGCAAGCCAACTTAGCCTATGCAGCATAACATAAACAGTGATCTCATTCCCTGTTCAGACTGCAAAATTATATTCTGTGTCTGGTGAAATTCCACGCATTTTCACCCAAAACTGTACACTGTAGTCCTATACTTTTAGGCCTTTCAGGTGCTTCTGCACCCTGTAACAGAAATATGTACATACAGATAAACTGGAAAGAGGCATTCACTTTTCTATCTGTGAAAACCCACTTTTGCAAGCTATAATAACAGCCAAACCTCACCTAAACCACTGGAACAAACAGCCAAGTTAGGAGGAACTGCAGAAAGCAGGAACAGAGAGAGAAGCTACAATATGCAGAAAACAAGAGCAAGCCTGTAAACACAGGGATATCCCTTTGCATCAGCCTGCATCAGCCTTCAAGAACATATATTACCTTTAGAGGAGCTAGTGTCAACATTACTTCAGACTTTCTCTCCTGGAGTTCTTTTGTCTGAAACGTTGAAAAAAATACCATATTAATATTTTCAATAGTCACTTAAAAATAGCAGTTTTTGGATATTTGTTTTAGACTCGACTTCTGAAGCATACACTTCACATAATTGCACAACCTTGTATCACAAACACCCTGCAGTAACGTAAGGAGTTGTTTGTACACTGATAAGCCCTAGCATTGATGTTGGACTCATGTATTACCAAGTGCTTTCGGATGCTTTTAAATGGAACCCTATATCATCAAAGCCACATCACATTAAAGACTTGATATCATTCATTATGCATTCATACTCCCATTTGATCTGTGAATCCTCCAAAATACTCTTTTGGGGAAAAGTTTTCCCCTTTCTTATTTATGTTATGTTGTAGAGTGCAAGAAACACAGGGAGATTTCCAGCACACGCATTCCATGGCAGGCTTTCAAAAGTAAACATCAACAATTTTCTGTTTTGAAATGATGGATACATTTCCCCCAGTATGAGGTGAGGCAGATGACTTGGTTTGTACTTCATGATAAAAATGCTTCACGAGAAACCTGCTTTCTGATAATACAGAAAATGTATTATATTCAGTCAGGTAAAATCTCCTTCTAGTATAAATGAATACAGTATTATTTGGAAAAAAAAAAAAAAAAAGTACAGATTCCTTTGGATTCATTTTGTTTGGTTATTTGTATTTCTATGAAGCCCACAGTAAATATATAATGTGCATTAAAAAAAAAAAAAAAAGAAAGAAAAATATTCCCTTTATAAGAACTCAATTATACTGAAAGAGGTCACCCAGTCTTCAGCCAATAAATCATGGACTTGGGAAGGAACATAGTGGATAGGACAGAGAGACGCCCTTACATTACACTTGCACTGAGGGAACAAAGGAAAATCTGGCACAAGGTCTCTTCACTGTTGACACTAAATTCTTGATGAGGCATGGAACAAAACACTTTGCTGATGCAACACAGCAATTAGGAGCTGCCCACTTATGTGGCTAGCATGTCTCATCCTTTCTCACCTACCATCTGATATGCACCATCCATCAATGCAGACAGCAGACACTATAAAACAAATTCATTTTACCAGCACTATTCTGTTGAGAAGCAGCCTAATCAACTCCTGAGAGAGGCCACTAGTTCTCCATGCAGTGTTCTTTAAAGTAAATCACAGCACATAACAAGGCAGTGGATTTACTGTGGAGGAAGGAGAATTAAATTCATATTCTGCAGGAAGAAAATTCTTTGTCTCCTGTATTTCAGAGAAAAGGGAGAAGCAGCACATTCCATGCGCTCTCTGCAAGGCACAACTCAGAAAACTCTGTTTACTACTTCTTTCACAGCACAATGGACAATTCCAATTTGGCTCATATTGTAACAGTCATCAAAAAAAATAAAAATAAAAATTGGTTCCAAAGAAATAGAAAATAAAATCTAAGGAAAAAAAAGCCTTAACAGGAATTTATTCATTCACCAGAGATCACTGATTGTAGTCACACTGACAGCAGTTTGAATTTAAGGCAACAGCTCTGCAAAAGTTAATGAGTGTACCTGCTCTGGTGTGCCTGCTGAAATACAGTGTGCAGATCTAGAAACTCTTAATGTACGTAGACCTGCATATACATGGAAGCCTTCAACAGAATAATAATGTCAATTTAAAAAAAAATCTACACCACACATACAACTGAATCTCTTAATATATAACTCTAACTGCTGGATCAAAGAAAAGCTACAAAATTCTGGTGCAACAAGACAGCTGGGAATGTTAAAAATTCTGACAACGTAAGCCAAGGAGGTGGCTCTGTAAGGAAACTGAACACTTTTCTTAGATGATGATATGGGGATTACAGAAGAGACTGGTGGCAAGTTTTTATTCTAGAGAGACTATCATCTTTCCATAATGTTGACCACCCAGGCAGTTTACATCTTTTCCTATTTCTCTGAATTCAGGGGTAATTTTATATGCCTGTAAACCACTTAATTATCCCCAGACTCATTCCCAAGGGAAAAAAAAAAAAAAAAAAAAAGAAAGAAAGAAAAGAAAAAAAGATTATTTTGGCTTTTTCTTTTGGGAAGATAGAAGTAGAATCTGAAGTCTGAGCCCACATCAGTCCACCCATTCAAGCACACAGACATCAGCTTGCTTATACCTTTTCACATAGCTGAGCCTGAAGGAGTTCCACTTTATTTTGCAAGTCATGAAACTGATTTTGTAATGCAGTCTGGTCCCTGAGCTGGGCTTTCAAGGTCAGTATTTGCTGCTGTAATCTCTTATTGGATATTTTATTTTCCTCCATTTCCTGGGCATCTTTCATGGTGTTCATCGGCTAGAGAGCAAACACACAGAATTTCAGATAAGATGTAGAAAATAAAATATTTTGAATCATGCTTTAGAGCAAACCTACACTTTACCTCAATTTTTTTAAGCTAATAAAAAATGTATGATTTCAAATCTTTATGAACATAGGAGAACTAGTATCTTGCAAAAATTTTAGAATTGATTATGAGCAAGAAGTTCCTTATTCCCTCTGAAAATAGGTATAGAACTGAGATTTCACAAAGTTCCTTCAAGGTAAGTATTGTATTATAATCATTTCATACAAGGGGAAACTGGGGCACAGAGAGATTAAGTGACTAACCTAAGGTTACACAGTTAGTGAGGACAGAATTCAAAAGTCCCCAGTCTCCTGCTCTAACTGCTATATAATACACCCCTTGGTTTTCACACGTCTTCATTTCAGAGAGTAAATGGCATGCTTTCAGTTATCTTTTTATTTTGGAAGATAATTAATAAAACTAATCTGATTTTAAGTACACATTTCAAAAAAAATTTAAAAATAAACTATTGCATTCAAATGTAATGATAATGGTACAGAACGAGGGGAAGGAAGAACTGAATTTAATTCCTCCTCCCCCACTCTCAGTACTCTCCATTTATTTATTTATTTTTTCAATTTCATGCAGTTAGATTGAACAGATTAAAGAGTGCTTTAGATTTGTGGTCAGCATCATGAGGTCAGTTCCAGAAATTATACTATCAGATTAAACAGATAATCTGAGAATGATGAAGATCTAAGAGTAAAGACAGTTTTGTGAATACTGCTCGTGCTATTGTGAATTTATACTAAAAATATTGAGTTGATATTCACATCTGTTCAAGCTTTCACGGTAATGTCATATATGCAAGTCTAAAGAGATTGAACATTTCTGAGATCATGCTAAAAATCCTAGTTAGGTCTGTAACAAGGCCATAAACTTTCTTATGAAACACTCACTCGGGAAGATGGTTTGATTTTCGTTGATATTAACACCAAAACAGCTGAAAGAAGAGCTAATGTTCAGCTATTGCGCACAGCAGCACAGTGTAATTCTCCCTGGCTTAGTGACCATCTTTCCAACTTGGACACCTTTGGTGACTAGAAGATACTAAAGCTACAATTCCAAAGAAAACAGAAAACCGAAGAGACAGATCACATAATTCTGGCTGCAACTCATTATTGCAACAAAGGCAAAACCACAAATATGGTATTTTCATATTCTTCCTAATCAAGCAAGTTTTCTATGTGCAGCATTATAGTCATTTGCACTTGCTTTTTAACAAACTTCTTGGCTCCCTCTTGTGTTAAGAGAACAGAACCATAGTGACTGTTGGACAAATCAAGGTTGATTAGATCAGTTTTTTTCTCATCTTCTCTCCTACACAAAAAAAAAAGCATATTAAATCAGAAATGGAAACACACTCTGACTGAAAATGCTTAATGGAAAAAGAAGCAGTAAAAAAATGCTTGAAGGTTAAAGGCAGAGAAGGGCTACCTCCTTCCTTCTGCATTTTGCTGTCACGCTAGCAGTTTTCTCTGTTTTCAAAAGCACAAATGAGCACACAAAAATGATTTAAGGTTATGATGTCCCAGTTTACAGTAACTGCTGCTCAAGCTCCAAAACGGTGACAAACCCAGAAACTGGGAAATAACTGAAGGATGACTAAGCCCCAAATTTAACTTATTTAGTGTGCACTTCATCCAAAAATCTTGTATTCATTTCCAAAGCTGCAAGTAATATCCTGCTTCTTTCCCGCTCACTCACGTAGTTCTCCCAACTCCTACTACTATAGTACAGTTCAGAAAGACCAGAGCATCCTAGAAAATTTCCCCAAACAATCTTATGCTTTCTCTGTTAGCAACACCAACGAAACAAGAAGTCCTAGCAGTAACTTTGAGGTATAATACCTGCACAGAAAAGCTTAGATCATATCTTAAGAGTAGTTTCACACAAACAGATTGATGTTTATTAAAAAGTTTATTTTAAAAGAACGTGAAAAAAGTTTTAATCTTTCTCAAAATATGTCTAATTTTTATTCAGGTTGATATTTGCTTCATTTTACCAATAAGATCTACACCCTTTGGTGAAGATATAATGGACTTAAGTCATACAGATTATTAGTTGATCCATCAGATAGCGTAACTGAAGGATAAACTCATCTCTCTGATATACATATGCTGCAACTTTGACCCTAGGATGAGATATGTGTGTATTTAAAAAATTGATACTAATCCCACAACGAAGATTTAAACTAGACAAAGAAGTAAGAGCCAAGTCAAACTACACTGCAAACCTTCCACTATGGGCAATCTCATTAATTCACCTGAAAATCCATGTGTCAGAGAATTATTCTGGCTAGACAGGGAGAGTTCTAAAAAAAATAGAGCTGTCTAAAATGCCCATGCAGAACCCAAACACTGGATTATCCAGTAAGAGAGATGGTCAGCCCAGCATAATATCTCATTACTTTCAAGTTTACATCTGCATTGGCTGTAAGCCTGCATCAAATCTATTGCCAATAACATTAATAGATGTCTCAACACCAAAAACATCCTGTACAAAGGAATATGGCTTTTCTTCATTCCATTTACATACATACCATTAATTTGCAGTGCTGCTTTCCAAGAGTTTTGTCTTCAGCTTCTTGTTTAAGACAGTCTAATTCTGAGAGAACATGTGTTAAATAAGTCTTGATTTCTTCATATCTGGTTTCAGCAAAGCCAAGTTCCCTGTACCATTTCTGAGCCTAATAGTAAGATTAAAAAGCAAAATTAGTGAGTGAAGTTAGTCTAGCAGAGATACTGTTTCTCAGTATTGGCTTATAAACATGGACTTGAACATAATCTCCAAGTTTTAAATTGCTAGAGCTATGATGAGATTAATTTTTTAGGTTGATTTCTAAATTTGAAGTTACCTTGAATGCTCTGAATGAAGCTTAAAATAAAACAGTCTGAAAGCCACTAGAGCAAAAAGGAGAGTAAGTGGCAAAAAAAAAAAAAAAAATCCTCAGAAATGCCAAAATGAAAAATGTAGCAGAGGAAATAAAAGCCTATACATTTACCTTTATGTTACTTCTGACATTCGTTTTCCCTACTTACACATTAACTGCCATTTTGAAACAAACAAACACATTCAATAGATTATTGACCGCAAGATCCTTTCTTCATTATTTCTTCCTTCTGAAATCAAAGGTTTCACATTCTTTTAAATTAACAAAATAAGTTGTTGCAACACCCAAAGGATTAGAAGGGACCAAATTAAGCAGATATTTTAAAATAAGTAAAAATCAAATGATATATTTACACGTAAATAAACTCCAAGGGTCAGGAGTCTGTCCCTAACAAGCCATCGCTCAATCCCAATTCACCCCTGCACTGCAGTCACCTCATTTCAAATCAGGAAGGTTTTACACAGTGGTTGTCGAAGGATGGCAATCTCATACATCCCAATGTGTAATCATACTACTCCTTTACATACCCAGTATAACATTTGTTATTGTTGATGTTTTTCCACAGATAGTTTGCACGATGCTTGTTACTGTGTGAAACAGCCCCATAAATTCAAGCATGCCATAAAGCAATACTGTTAAGATAAACAGGACATGGAGATCGTGAAATAAAAATAGGAATATTGAAGCTAATGTGTTAGGAAAGGCAAAACACAGAAAGCTTATCTTCCTCTGCTGGTATTAAAACCACAGATTTGCTGTACAGAGGCACAGAACTAGCTCTCCATTCAAACAAGAATTTCCATGAAGATGGTTATTATTACATAGATGTCAAGAGGTGAGGCAGTGCACATACTTTGCACTATTACTTGGCACTATAGCAAAACCACTTGGCAGAATCAGATTTTATGTCCCTTCTCGTCTTCAAAAATTACTCTGAATTCAGGTTCACCATTATCCTCAGGCAAGGATAATTCTTACTCTTCATTCCTAATGAAGGGGAGGGAGGCCAGAGCTGGCTACAGCGGATATTTTGTTTGGAGTGCCTTTATTAAGCCCTCAGTTTCTGTTGAAACGTGCTGAAGGAATGCAGCTTCACCCGAAATTCGGGCCAAAACCAAATAACTATGCAATTCATCACTTAGCTGAAAGATCTGGTTCTGCATATCAGAGACTTCTCATTTAGTAAAAACATTAAGCACTGGCAGAATAAGCAGCCATGTAAGAAAACAAAGAAGAAAACAAATCTGCTCTTTAGAACTACATCAAAGAGGAGCTTACCTCTTTTTTTGATTTTTCTAATTCTTTTTGCTGTGTTTTTAATTCCTCTTTTGTCCTTTCCACTTGCTCCTTCATCGAACTGTAGCTTTCAGACCTCCTGCCCTGGAAGAAGTGGAGAAACAGAAAGACATGACTCTTCCTACTCATACGCAAGCGTTTACGTATTTTTTAGTGAAAAATATAGTTTCCTTTTATCTGAATTACAACAAATATTTGCATAAGATCAGAATAGTAGCGATAAATCTTTCCCTGTTGATTATTCTCAACTGAAATAATAATTCCACTGTTAGAAGAACATCATAATTTCCATAGAATTTCACTGTAATGGAAGACTCACAATTGCAGAAGAAAAATACAGATGAGAAACTGTATATAATTAAAGATCTTGTCTTTGAGCATACATTTCACAAAAAACAGAGCAGATAAAAAAATAAACCCTATCAGAATAAAAGTTAGTAAATGAACACATTCATATTTCTTCCTTTCTTTAGAAGATCCTGTTTAATAACTTTCATTATTTTTAGTATTTACCTCTTTGCTGTGGAAATAGCTGGTCATGTCTCTTCCTTCTTCTTCAGTTTGAGTTATACCACACACAGTTTCAACTTTCCTTGGCTTAGCACCATACTGTTGAGTTTTATTTTCTTCTTTTATTTTTACTATCTTTTCCTTTGTTCCCAAACCTTTTTCTTTCCTCAGATCTTCGTAGGTGAAACCCAAAGAATACATCAATTCTTTCAATTTGTTATTTTCTAAAATGAAGTCAGCATTTGCTTTCTGAAATTCACCAAGTTGTTCTGCATTTTCTTTTTTAATTTGGTCAATAGCTCTTTTCAGGACACATTTTTCCTCCTGTAAGTCAGAAATAGTCTGATAACAGCTAGTTTTGCACTCCTGAAGTTCTGAGACCAAGGCCCGGTATTTATCTTGTTCACATTTTATTTCTGCCAAACTTCCCAATAAATTTTCTTTTTCAACTTCTAAAAGAGATATTCTTTTTAAGTTTCCCTCTCTCTCTTGTGTTAATTCTTCATATTTTGCTATATAGTTTTCCTTGTCTTGTAATAGTTTAGCTATTTCTTTGAAGCATCTTCTTCTTTCTTCTTTCAGGTCAGAAAGTAGCTGAAAATATCTAATTTTCTTTCCATCTAGAGGTAAAACACTCTCGGGAAGTTTATTTAATTCAGTTGTTAATGAGTCTTTCCCCAAATTCCTACTTTTCTCATCAATGCAAGAGAGATTCTTAGAGATGGTTTTAGCAAGAATTATTCCTGGACTCTTGGTATTTCTTTCTGACACGTTATAACATTTACCAACAATTTCATTCTCATCAAGTAAATTTTGAAAAGAAACACTGTTATCATCATCAACTTCTAAAGCGTACTGAAAATATGCATCCATGTCCTCTTCCAGTGCACACATCTTCTGAACACATCTCTCATTCTCCTCTTGTAATACACAGGCCTTTTTAAAGTAATTTTCATTCTCTTGCATCAGTAGAAATATCCTCTGTGAACACATCGCCACTAATTTTTCCAATACATATGTTTTCATATTACACTCATGAACCGCTGCTGGTGGTGACAGGTGACAGAAATACCCAGAAAAATTGTTCTCTGGCAAGAACTGTTTGCTTAAGCACACGGACCTCTTCTGCATAGGAGACAATATGTTTAGTGGATAACCCTCTTTCTCTGACCAAGAACATTTCTGAGAGTATGCACATTGCATCTTTTCAGCAGCAATTTCCTGACATGAGAAATTCTTCTCATTTGATTCATGTAGTTTCAGGGACTGGACTTTTTTTTCTCCCAGTCCAATATTTCTTGAAGGGTTTATTTGGTGAATTGTTTTCTGAGGTTTCTTCTCTTCCTCTCCCATTTTCATCATGTCTCCATCTTTGCACACCCTCATCACATCAGATATGCAGATTTCTGAGAGTCTTCCATGTTTCTCCACTTGTTCAGGACTCTCTCTGAAGCGCATCTGAAAGTCTTTCACATCAACAGATATTTTGTGGAAACCTTGTGGATTATCTTGTTTGTCTTTGGCTTCAATTCCTTGATTCTCAGGCTTTATCAAACTACTCTTATTTAAAACACTAGAATTTTCCCCAAAAATAGAGGTTACCTGTTGTATTTGGGATTCCTCAGTCTGTATTTCTTCTCCTTTAATTCTCGATCTAAAGATTTTTTGGTGATATTTTCTATCATGAACACTTTTATCTGAACTTTTATTCTTACTTACACTTTTTGGTAGGATTAATTTCTTTTGCTGATGTTTTTCCACTCTGTATTTTTGAAGAGAGGATGCAAAATTTTCAGCCACAGAGCATGGTATTTTTCTGCAAAGAGCTGTAGGAGCTTTATCAGAAAAATCTTCTGTAAGAACACACAGACCATCCAAGCAAAGACTGGTATTTGCCCCACTGAAATCCAAACTCCTCACTTTCTTCACTGTTGTGACAGCCTCTACCTCGTGGCTTTCTGGTTTTAACAAGATAATGTTAGGTTTGTTTCTCATCAAATCTTCAACCACAGAAACAGGGAACATTTTTGCTGGTAGATATACAGCTTGTTCTTTCAAGAAAGAGAAGTATTCTTCATCTTTGTTTCCTTTGCTTGTTTCACCATTAGTTACTTTTTCAGAGCAAGGTGGAAGCAGTCTTGCTGTAGGATAGCTTGGGGTACAACTAAACAAAGTGAAACTGTCTTCTGAAGCACCTGTACTTTTTGTTCCTACGGTGACCTGATAATTGCAAAGGAGATATGTTTAAAACTGAAAAATATAAACCAATGGAAATAATATTTGATTATGGACAAGTGAGAAAAATATTGCTGCATGAAATTTTCAAATAATTTAAGGATTTGAAATAGAATAAAGGTAAAAATAAGAAGGTACAAGTAGTCAATCGTTTTCTTAGAGCACAACGTTATTCACCTTGAATAACAACTTAACTAGATAGGATTTCAAATGCTTTTATATTTGTCTTTAATTACACTTACTCTTCTTCTTAACTCAAAATTCACAGATTCACTGTGCTCACAAAGATGAGAATAGTAGGAACTTCTTACCAGTTTGATCTCAGCTAAACCGACTTCTTCAGCAGCATTTGCAAATGTGTTGGAATTGTGCTCCAAAACTGGCAGCAGTTTTTCTTGTAGCCCTTTTTTCTGTTCAGGCCCATCACAGCTGTATCCCGGTGTTTCTGTTATGATAAAGCTCAGGGTAAGTGTAATGGCATTCACAGGCAGTTACATGAAAAATAAACCCCCAATATTTCTGACCAGATGATTTGAATAGAAAGCATTTTGGTAAGAATATGCCCCAAACTACCTTCTCTAGCAGAAGGGCATACTATGAGTGATGCAGAGACAAGGATGACATTAAGCAAGAAAATATATTTCATAAAAAAAGACAAGTATTAAGCTCGAAATTAAGGTATATTTGGAGATTGTTCCCCCACCCTCCAGTTCTTAAAGCCCTTAAAAATGAAATAAACATCTCATTACATTGAGTAGAGGACAACTTATGTGTTAAACATAAAGGTTAAACCTAAGGGCTAAAATATTTTTATATTTTGGTGTAGGTCTGTTCTTGCATAAACTGAAATTCATCATAAAGCTCACATCAATTTTAGTTGGAAAATTAACTAGATACAATTTGCCAAGATCAGAGCTTTCATGTAATGTTTAGTCTAAAAAATAAATCTGACAGCTGCACAGTGTTCCCAAACACTACATTTCAGACTAAACTTGAAAAGTATGGCCTAACTTCTTAGCCTCTTGGCAGTTGCAGGATTTATTAAGAAAGCTCACATCTAAATCCTTGTGTCATACAAGTGAATAGTTATTCTTCCACATTCTTAAGATACTATTTCCAGATGAGAAGGTTTTTGGAGCTGTTTTACCTTCTAAGTCAAGCACACCACAAGAAAGAAGTAATCTTCACTTTTGCTGCACAGAAATGAAATAAAAAATTGCAGCTTATTTTCATACCATACTCCATGGCATGCAGCAGCACAACTGGAGTTTGAGCAGCTCTGCTTCTCTGTTGATCTGAGATTGCTCCCCTTTTCTGGTTTTGAACATCTTGCTGGTGTAGGTCTCTGCTCTTAATGAGAAAAGGGGAAAGAAAATAAAAAGTGGATTATAAATACACCATTCCTGGTATGAAAGCACACAAGCACACAGCTTTTCTTTGCTATTTTCTATTAACATTCAATAGACCAATTATTTCATCATAATTGCTACTATTTTATATACTTTTCTCATTCCAACATTTTCCAGTAAATATTGTGCTTGTTAGATTTTACCCTCACATCTCCTTGAGATTCTACAGCTACTTGAGGAAGAATATCTGAGCAATAAGTATGCACAATATGGTTGGAGCACAGAACACTAGCAAGGCAGAGTCTAATTGATATGTTGTCCATTAACAAAGGGAAAGACACCACCAGTTCTATGCCCAACACTGTGCAGGCTATGAAGATAAATGTTTCTATATTGGAATAGCTCTTTAGAAAAGGTAGAATAGTTGTCTGGGAAAAAAAATTGTCTTCAGTCAGTAATTTAATTATAAAATTCAGATTCTCTTCTCAAAATCTATCTTCAGTATCAGATTGAATTTGGATGCTAGGACAATTTCTGGTGCAAAACAGATACCCTTAATGTCTGATACACTGCAGATCATGTTTCACATGTGCCATGCTTATTCTTAGTGAATAATCTGATTTGACTTCCTCAACAAAAAACATAATTGAGGCTGTAGCCAAAGCGGCAACAGAACAGAAACGAAGACAAGAGTCATTTTTGTCTTCCCACAGTGCTTTGCATCAAATGCCAGCTGAAAAAAAACCTCAGCAGATTAGGACTGAGCTGCAGCTTTATAGTTACATGCAGATGGATAAAGCAGCAACTTCAAAATGAGTCTGCAAATGCCACTTGGTTTTCCTCTCAATAACCAATGAGCATAATTTTCATTTCAACCCAATCCACATCCTGCATTATTGTGCCCTATTATATCTTGTCTGGGTGGCATGATTTGTGTGGGAAACCACAATAATTCCAGATTTCTTCCATCTTTTTCTTAGTGGTAATGAAGCTGATGTTAATTCCTTGAAACACACTCATTCAAGTTTGCCTCTATTTCCTCCCAAATATATTTTCTTTAGTAACATGGGGGTTCTGGCAGAAGACTGTTATAGAAAATAATGGAAAAGACACAATCCTTGAATGCTAGGAACACCTCAGCATGAAATCAAACCTTCGACTCTCATCTGAGAGATGTAGAGAAGTATGTGGCATGCTGTTTCTTAACTTTCCTTCACCAAGATCTTGAATAGACCCCTAATGTGAGCATCTAGAAATTTTCTCATAAATACATTGGTACATGGTACTAGCTACTTTTTGGGCATTTTTCATTCAGGCATAATCTGCTGTTGGAACACTGCAGGCAAGACTCTGGAAATTTAATTTTCTTATGAGATTTATGTGACTGTACTCCTCAATGAGATTCAGTTCACTTCCATGGTACCAGAGCAAAACACCCAATTGAGTTAAATATTAGTGCATTTATATACAATAATGATCAGGGGATAGTTTTCAAGCATTGCTGAGCTTGTCATTTGATATAATATTTACTGAGGAATCTCAGATCTTTTGTATTTCATATGGGTCTGATAAGCCTGTCTTCACAAAATACATTTTTCCTGGCTGCAGAATGGGTGTATGATCCCACTCACTCTTTCAGTGAAAAATGATGTATCAGAAACATTCCAAAAAAGTATGAGCATGAAACTTTTTCTTGTTATGCATATAACTCCTCATTTTTAAAGCTGGTGATGGAGTATGATGAGCTTAAATAGGATTTTTTTTTTATGTAACTATTTTGGCTTGCATACTACAAGACCAGTGTAATGAGATTAGGAAATTTTATTAAGAGCAACTAAAATATGAGCCTAAGGGGAAAAAAAACAAAAACCCTCTTCAGTTTTACAATACAACACCAGAGGTCTCCCTCCTCCTTTTAGAACAGAAATTAAATTTTTTTCCCGACTATTTGAAGGCACAGTTTTCTACTGGAAAAATCCAGGTGAATCTGTAGTAGTACTGAAAGCGAAGGAAAATACAACCAGCAGTGCACAAGACTTGATGCTGCTGATGCCATGTGACACAACAAGGAACACAACCTGCTGTGCATCAGAACAAAATACATTGACTTAACATATACTTTGGCATCTTTGTTTATACCATAGACTGCCTAAATTCCTAAGACAACACAGCCATCCATTAATAGTTGGAAAAGAAATGGTTAGAAAGCTTGGTGAAGAAAAAAATAAAAACCTTTACACCATAGTACAGAATAGAATGAAAGAGACACAGTCCTGTTTCTCAAAGACATTCTGCATTAGTCTTGGGCAATTGATCATCTTACTCTCATACCTTCAATTCAATATTTACTTTTTCCTTTTCTCAGATTTTTGGAAGTAATTCTTCACTACTTATTCTCTGGCTCTGAAAGCCACCATTCCCCCTGGTTTTAGCTGGGCAGTTCCCTCACAGTGCACTTGGTTGTGGTACCTGTGTACAACTCAGTGCAACTCCTTCTAAATATATCTTAAGCTAGGAACATTTTCAAACCTTCATTCTTAAGAATAAGTGAACTCACTAGGGTAAAGCACCTGTAGCAATGGTTCAGACTTATAAAATTAAGTACAAATCCTTCTGCCAACCCAGAGCAGCAAGGAGCAAAGTGGCAACATAGCTTCTAAGCTATCCTCAGAGGTCACGCATGCTGCCAGTTTCTGCAGGAGAATCTTAACATTCTTTCTCTCACTTACTTGTGACTAAAAAGTTAGAAATAGTACCAAATCACTATGTCTGTAAAGATGCATTCAAATACTAGTTTAAAAACTTCATTTTGATTTCTTTTTAAACTTTTAAAAAGACGGTCTTCTCTACCTTCTCCCAGTCCTGAAAGTACTCACGGTATGTTTGTTCTCCTATACTAAAGGGGTTTTGTTTGTGTTTGTTACCTCTCAGTTAACTGCACATAATATCAGGAGAGTTCTAGGAATATCAGGTCACAATCTGAATGGGTAGCTGAGCATGAAGCTGAACTGATTTCACTCAGTCCTCAGAATAAAAATACCATCTATCCCAGTGCATAAATAATAAAACCTTATTTGTGTCCTCTCCATGAAACTATTCTTTGTCAGCAAAATAAATTGGCAGAAGCTGAATGTCATATTACAGCATATGTAGAGCTTTCCCAGGCATTGCTGGAGTGAACTGCTTGAAGCAAAGAAATCCTATTCAATGTATTCAGAGCACATCACAATGCTGGGGAGCTGCAAAGCACTGAATATCTCAACTCACAGACTTGAATATAGTATCTATCTTCTCTTGTGCTCCATTATCTAGAAAATCTCATGAGCAAGACTTTTTTTCTCAGCTGTGCTTTTTTCCTTCAGTGGCCTGGCATGAATAAGATATGAATACTCACCCAATCATGCATGCACTCTTCATCTGGATGGTGTCCATGAAACAGATGCCTTAGAAGTTCTTCTGAGTTCTACTTTTGATGCCAACAAAGACCTTTTGCCTTGGGCACATCACTTGAAAACTTAAGGAAACAAGGTTTGTGAAGTGCCTTCAATATACACCTAATAAGAGCAGTGATGCATTGAAACTCCAGCTGCTGATTACATTGATTAGATTGATGTGAATTAGACACTGAACTTTCAATACATCAATAGAAATAATAAAGGAAACATATATAGGAAGTAAAAAGCCTCAGGGTTACATCTCCACTGCATACCTAATGAAAAGTGTAATCTGCAGTGATATAAAGATAAAACTTTCTTGTACTTTGCTTTACTTTTACTTACCAGGTCAGCACTGTTGTCTGTACTTTCTGTTCTTGTAAGCTGCAAGCCCTTTTCTTCTTTCTTTTTTAACCTCACCCTAGCTTGATATTTTAAAGACTTGTTTTCATCCAAAAGCTTGTTCACTTGTTCCTGTAGTTTGATTTCAGATAGTTTCAGATTATAAACATGATGACAAGATTCTTCCAATTTTCTCCTGAGAAAGTCTTCAGTGTCCTGGGAGCACTGGAGCTGAGTCAGCAGGTCTGCTCTTTCTCTTCTGTTGTCCTCCTCTTTATCCCTTAAGAACTTCAGATTTTTCTGAAATGACTCAAAGTGGCTTTTCATGTCATGCTCCACATTTCCAATAGAGTTTTTCAATTCTGTGAGTTGCATATTAGAAGGCTTATAGCTCTGTGTGCCTTTGGATGCTGATTCCAGCTTCTTATGGAGACACTGTGCCATTCCTTCTCCTAACTCAGATGTCAAAAGAGCAATATGGGCACTGAGATCTAGCACTTGCTTTTCCAGTCTAAACACCTCACCCCGAAGGTAACATTCCCTTTTTCTCAGCACTGCTGTCTGTTGCTTCTGCCTTTGTTTGTAGTGCTCAAAATACACAGATTGGCTTTTTACTTCATTTTCTTTTGTCTTCAGCTGCTCCTGAAGCCAATGTAATTTCTCCTTTTGTTTCTTCTCTGACTTCTCTTGGTTTTCAACCTAAAATTTTGGTGATTTGTACAGTTAACAACTTCATATCAAATCTAATCTTACCTTTTTTTCTTAATTTTGCAATAATTCTACCTCTTTTCTGCCCTGAAAACTCAGGGGAAATATAGGAAATAGGAAAGAAACATAACAAGAAAAAAACCTCAAACCAAAAACTACCCACTATCTTTCACAGGTTCTAGAAGAACTATTAAATCAAAAGAAACTTTGAACTGAAATGCATACAACCAGCTCTGAACAACACAGGAACATATCCCATACTCTGATATTGGTATGGTACTGAGATGTAACGACAGAGAAGCCATGGTTCTATTGAATAAAAGAGAACACACACTTTTATAAGAAAGAAAGTTTTTGCCCTTTGCCCTTCCCCATACCTGTCATCTGTCAGCTCCTTTTTTGAGCCCATTGTAAAAGAAGAAAGAAACAGATGCCTTTTGAATCAGTTTCAGAAAAACTTTAGTACTTTGGTTTGCGCCAAACTGTGCTTGAACACAGAGACATAGAGAGGTGAAAGAGGTCAACAGAAGGCAGAGAATGCTTTCATGATTCACATGCTGCCCTTGTTTAGAGCCACCAGTATCACATTGTCATTATGACAACATTTAAGTAAGACTGAGGCACTGAGACACTGCTGTATTCCCTGCAGCTGAGCAGCTGTATTTTGTACAGAAAATAGGCTGTCATGGTTGTGCTGTGCTGCTGTATAATGTATGGCAGGGAATGAAAAAAATGATTTAATGTGGGGCCAGAAGAATAAAGTCTAACTTAGGGAAAAAGAATGTGTTGACTTGGGAGCAGGTATCCCAAAGTTCAGTGGCTCAAATGGCAGCAGCAACAGATGTTTGTTTCTTTGTTTTTGACAGTGCTGTCTAAACAATTAGAGAAATAGAAAGTAAGGCAGAGAGAGAAATAGTTCTTCTGATTCCTCTGGTTAAAAAAAAAAAAAGCCTGAGATGATATATTGCATAAAAACAGACAGGTCACTGGAGAGGAGATTGACTTATAAACTACTGCCTTAAAGAGAACTTAAACTAGGTCATTTGAAACAATATCCTCCTTACCAAGCTCAGCAGCTCCTCCCAAACTTCTCTCAGTTTCCCTTTAACACGCATATTTGCATTTTCAAAATGGTGCACTTTCATGTTTAGTTGATCAATCATTACAAGAAGTGTTTTGTGTGACAGCTCCAGCTCTTTCATCCTGTTATATTGAGAATGAAGATTTTTCTGAGTAAATGATATAATCCAGATGGATAAGCTGTCATCAGCAATACATCAATTTATTTTTATTTTCCCGTTTTTCTCTCAACAATAAGATACTAACGCTTTTTTGATTGCTACAACTAAACATTATCAAAAAGAGTCTACTGGGGTTTGCAAGTTTCTCTGGAGACTGTCAAAGACATTAAAGACAATGTTGATGTTCATTCTCTCTCTGCACGTTTAGCATGAAAACCATAAATAATCACATTTATGGAGATAATGTTGACTGAAGTTTTCTGTGTTAGGCAAAGTAAACACTTAAACACTTACCATAAAGATAACCACAACTCTGGTCTCTACACCTATCCAATCACTGGGTTTTGCTAGACTCATGTTTAGGAAATTTCGATTTTATTATCCATTTAAGTCTCTAGCTTTGTTAAGAATAGTGCAATTGCGAGGCACCAAAAACTTAATCTTATTCTAGTCAACTACATAATTAATGCTTAGTTAGCTACAGTAATGATTAGCATTAACATACTAAGCTACATGCATCTTTCAGAAACTATCATTTTTTAATGTAGCACAAAACTTTAAATTTAAAGATAAGTGCATCTTTCTGCTCCAAAATTAACTCTTAAAACTTCTTAAAAGAAAAGCGATATAATCTGCAAGCAGAATTTACATCTTATGAATATTTAAGGATAAAGTATCCTGAGAAAGCTGTCTGGTTACAGAGTATACATCAAGTTACAGAACTGATTAAAATACTAAAAACAAAAATTTGCATAGTGTATTTCTACTCTGAAAGCTACACAAAACATTTATAAACTCATTTTATTAGCCGTTCTAAAGATTCTTAGAGCTTATTTGCTAGTTTTGCACATATTTCTTGATGTCCACTACATGCAAAAAAATAAAAAGGTTTTATTTACCTATTTCTTAGCACAGAATCTGACTCGATGTAGTCCTCTAAAGTATGTTTCAGTGTTTGCTCCAATTTTTCCAGCTCTATTATTCTGAGGTTCAAATTCTCTTGTCCAGCACTTCTTTCTTGCTCATCAGGTATGCTTGCATCTTCTAAATCCTGGAAAATCCAAGAAGTGTCAATGTTAACATTAAAATTCAGAACATCAAATCCTTCGTCACTGAGCATTTTAATATAGTAACAAAATTCTTGTTCTCTAGCAGATGAAGGGTCTGTGACGAAACTAATCACTTAAGTTCTCAATGTACTGCAGTCTGAGTATGCAGTAAGAGGGTAAGTCTCTCTAAAGATCAGATTAACAGTCCTCAGTTCTGAAAACATAGATTATTTATAAGAGAGTCTCATTTCACTGCCTCAAAGCAATTCAGCATGTATGAAAGGAGTTGCAGATCTTTATAAAAGGTACAATTACATTAATTCCTGAAGGCATTAGGTATCAAATGTTTGAAATGGGGATTGTTTTCTACTAAATAGAGCAGCTGATAACATGGAGTACTTATATCATAAAGGATTTTTTTTTTTTTTGAAAAATCTTTGATATTTTTATTATTTTAAAACAAAAAGGTTAATGTCTAGAAGGAACTTTCAAACTTGAGCTTTCAAAGACTGTTTATTTCCTTTCCTTTGCCTCCTTCAGCAATGGCTCTAAAAGTTCCTCAGTCCACATGTCACCTTCATTTACACAAACTGTTTTCAGTAAAGAATAATCCTGTTACTGATATCTGAGAAATGCCACAGCTTTCATTTTGTGAACCAATTTTTATTGATTTGAAATTGGACCTGTAATAGTAAGGCATATATGGGCATTTGGACTTCTCAACAAGATAATGCAATTAATTTTTTGTGTGTGTTTTATTGCTTGCTTTCATATTTTGTTTTTTGTTTGTTTATTTTTTCAAACAAATACTGCACTATGGAAAAAAAAAAAAAAAAAAAAAGGAAAGTAACATTTATTTTTGCCACTGAAGAGAATAGCATCAAATTTGTGCAAAAAAGAATAAACAGCTTTATTATTGTCCACATTTTCATGTGAGTTATCCACATATATAGTGAATTACAGAAAATGGTGTTATTTTGCCCTATTGTATTACTCTTTGGCTTTATGTCAGCTACATAAAGACTTAGACCTGAAAAGATTCTGCCACTGCCCAGTCCTTTGAGAATCTATGATACTTAAAAGCTAGAAGCATGGAAAGGAAAATAAAGTGTAAATCCACAAAGACAACAAAGTTCAAATCCCTTTGAACTCAGAAATCAGAAACTCTTTGTTTCCCTCTTTGCTCATACATCTGGGAGAGATGACTTAAAATCAGTGTCACAGAAAGTAAAAATCAAGTGTAGCATCTTTCATAGCCTGAGTACCTTAAGCCTCTTCTCAGTTTTACATTTGATATCAACATGCAATGGATAGTAACACTGAAATGATACACGCAGTTTTCCAGAAGTATGGAAAACCTGTTACTTCAAGATAGGATAAAAGCATCGTAACGTCATATGGAAAATCTCACTCAAATCAGACAGGTCTTTGTTTTTAGGAACCTGTCACACGAATTACAGTGCAATAAAACACGTAAAAGATAATAAAACTGATCATACCTTTTCTGCTTTGTAACAAGACCAACTCCTGTCTTTGCAGAGCACTTAATGTTGCAGTCACGTGCTGGGTGATCATTTGTCTATGCTTCCAGTTTTATTTCCAAATAAGTGAGGAGCAAAGCTACGTCTGGTAGAAGAGCGCTTCTTCCCCAAGTCAGTCCAATCTCTTCCCAATTTCTGTCAGTTTCTGTTTTGGTTATCCAAAGCTCTGATTACCACTGTTACGGTCTCTCTTCAGACTAAAGACAAAACTTTTCCTTTTGCAGTAAAGAGCTAATCTTTCCACATTCAGTTATCACAGTGCTAAAAAGTTTTAACTAAAACATGAAATTTGCAAACACATTCTGTGAATGCTTGTTCCTTTTTGAACCAAACACTGTGAGCAACAAATTCTTTCTCTAAAGGAAACTCTGAAGTTTCTAACTTTTGTTGTGCTTCATGTCAGGAAAGAGGAATTTTCAGACACTCAAATGATCCCCAGTTTACGACATCTGACTGAAAAAATGTTGTTGAGTGCTCCAGCTACTTCAGCAGGTAAATCATCTTGGCTGGTGATTTTTCATCTCTGATCTTACTTCAGAGCCTCAAAGATTTGAGAGAGCTGGCTTCTTCCTGCTGCTCCAAAAGGGAGATATTCAGTTGCTAAGATAAATCTGTTCTTCAGCTTTATTTGTGTTGCCTTGATGGTTCCTTGCCTTATTTTTTTTTTTAATTATAACTTTCACTTTATCCAATATATTACCATAACCATCTTATTCCACTCTACTTTCGTGTTTGAGTTCAGCATGTCCATGGAAGCAGACCTGTCCCTCTGTCGTTTTCTACACAGCCCTTTTTAAATAGAGATTTTCCATAAAATTCTGAGGAGAAAGTTGTCTTTAAATGTTGTGCTTTTAATAATATTGTCAACTTGCCTCTACATTCCAGAATAATCAAAATTACCTATTTCTTCACAATGTCCCTCCAGCCCTGAAAGAGCAAACTGTTTTCCTTTTCTTGAAAGAAAAACCCAACCTTCTTGAATTTTTCTTACTGTTCTCCATCTTAAACAACTGCTTTTAACTTTCATTTTTTCAATCTGTGCTTCACAAGGAGTTCTTCTTGCAGTTCAGGTGGTTAATGTCCTCGACTGTGTATATCCAGCTCTGCTGGCTGCAATTGTGCCATTTTTTCTTCCTGGTCGCTAATGTCAACTTTCTTTTGTGAGAATAAAATTTTCCCAGATAGTTTTTTAAAATGCTTATCTGCTTAGCACATTCATCTACACACCCATATCTTCAAGTCTTTCTTTCTTCCTGAAGAGATAATTGAGGACAGCACACCATGCATTCTGTTTTCCTGACCTCTCAGTCCATCTCATGATTTTCCATTCTCCCAGGGCTATCTTCACAAATTATTGCCTTAATTTTCTAGGAACGTTCAAAAATTCACTCCTACCATGCAGTTCTTACCCACTGCCAAGATCTTCTAGTTCAATCGAACATCCTGCCTTTTCTCCAAACTCTACATCTACTCCACTTGTGAATTTCCAACTTATGAATTTAATATGAATTTTGTCACTGTGGGGCTTTAAATCTCTCTTTGTTTTCAACACAGAACAGTTTTTGTTTTTTTTCTTGTTTTTTTTCTTTTTTTTTTTAACCTGTCAGATATTTACTACAGAGAATTTATTGTCAAACACTTATCTTTTTTATATGGATACTAAAAAGGAGATTTTGTGTTACCTGCGTGAAATGCAAAGGACATTTGTTGAAAGCATGCAGTATGGAGACAAAGATCTCAGTACTGTAAGAAAACTATTTGGTAGAGAACGGTTCACATAGCATCCAGTAATTGCACTTGTTTTTTTTTTTCCAGTGTTTGATTGGTGTGTAAGTGTAAATTCTCTTTATACTTTTTTCAGTGTGTATGATGTGCTGGTCCCTATTTGATTATCAAATCATTCCAGCTTGAAGCTATAGATTTAAAAAAACTCTAATTATAAGTCCAAATATTTTGCAGCTTCAAGTATTATGCAAACACTTTTATGAAAAAATGCACCAATTTAAAGCTGCTCAATAAATATTTTCTATATTTTTGCATGTGGACTCAGCTGTTCACTCCATAGGTTCTTTTAATAACCTGGGTAATAAAAGAAAAAAAAAAAAAAAAAGAGGAAAAAAAAAAGTATTCTTAGCTTCAGATAGACAAAATTAACTTTGTAATAAATGTTGGCATTCACCCCCATCAAAAAGTCTTCCTAAAAGTTTAATGTTAGCTTCAAAATAACAAGAACAAAACTGCCATTAGCAAACAAACTAGTCTGACTAGCAATATAGAAGAATGTTTAAGAGTCTCACCAACAAGAAACCTTAGTTAGGTTTTTAAAAATGGGCTTTGCTGTGTTACATTATTCAGGGATAGATTCACTGGTGGCAAAACAAATTAAAGAAAATTGTCTTCCACATTAGAGCTTTGATATGCCATGAGCCCCTAGAAATCTGGAGTGGCTTTATAGCCATAAAGCACAGCCATGGTATAAAGGATAAAATTCAGAACAGATTTCAAAGAAGGAAAAGATTTGAAAAACTGCAAAAGTAAAAGAGTGGTATAATTTTCAGTTTTAAAAAAATCAGTGGTTTTAAATCACATCTTAATCCTCTGTCACTGAGGCTGTGAAGTTACCATCCTCACTGAAAAGGAGCGTGAAACTATATTGCTCCATTGAAGAGGAGTAGGACTGATTTTATTCTAATCTCTCCTTCTTGTTCTGTGTGAAAGGTAAGCCCCTGTAGCTACAGTGCTGCTACAGCTAAAGGAATTCTCTCCGTCCTCTGCGCTGTGAAAGGGGCAGTGGGAATTACAGTTATTTCTAAAGAACGACAGATTTCTTAGTCTCATCCTTACTGCGTTCATGAGCACAAAGAAGGTCAGTCATACTTCTTCACATCATCTCATAAAAGAAAAGCGAGTTATTTCTTTTTTTACTTTGTGGCTTCAAGGATTTTAAGAAAGTAAAATGAATCTTTTTTGCATGGTTACAAGACTTTTAAAAAACAAAACTGAAAACCAAATACAGGACAGGAGACAGGATCTTACAGTAATAGTTGAGCTTCAAGACTAAAACTTCAAGACTACCTGCTCTACAGAATTGAGAAATACCCACTGCAGTTCAGACATTCAGCATCTTAGAATGCAAAACCAATCCTTGTTGAAAAACAAATGATTTTCTGCAGAAGGTTAGGAAGGTAATGGAAGGCATCAATTTGGATCTTACAAGGGACTCTTCCAGTATGTGCAAGCAAAACCAGTAAATGCTTTCGCAGGGTTTCAAAGCCTTACAACGATGATTCTAAAAACATAGCAAAATCTAAGAGCTAAAAATTGAGTACAAAACAATATAAAGAATACCAACCACATGTCTTGGCTCAGTTGTGTCATCAAGGCCACAGAATGAATGCTAGTGAAAAAAACAAAAAAAGGAACAAAAACTATAAAATAAGATCAAAAGAAAATGAAGAAAAAAGAAAAGAAAGCAGATGTAAGATATGTAATATGAAATCCAGTGACATAATTTAACAGCAGTCAATTTATGTTAATACTGATTGATTGGACCTGAAAGATCAGTATAGCAAGCTGACTCTGAAAAGAGGTAAGAGGGTGCAAAATTCATTATTTGAGGATAGCTTTTGCAAACAGTAACATTTGTAGTTTATGTACAATTCAGAAAAATCAGGCTTAGCTCTGCAACTTACTCAAGTACATATTCATAATAACATGCCTGAAATATTTCCTGTAAGAAAATTTACCCAGACACGGGTAAAAACTATATGCAACTTCAAGGCCAGAGACTCAGTTATGAGAAAAGCTCAATGTATTTAAACAGCACTTGCTCCTCATGTATTGGCAGGTAGAATGAACCCAAGATTTTACATTATTGCTCTGATAGCCTCTGGAAACAGGACAGTTTGCTGAAGAATCTACAGGGTAAAAATACTGCCACTCTTATCTTCTCATTTGAAAGCATTTTACATAATACTTAAAAACTGAATAAATTCCCGAGGGAAAATAAAAATCCATACTAATGATGAAGTAACTTTAAGCAACTTGCTGCCCATAGCTACAACCAGTAAGTGGGCTCCATTATTAAAACTGCCATTCCTTCAAAAGAAAGTATTTCCCTCCACAGGAAGTCATAGTGTTTAATGTCAGTGTCATGTAAATGTCATTCTCCATTCATTTGCATATTAAACCTTGAAAAGAACAATGAGGTACAAGTGTATCATTCATTGATTTTCAGACAATACAAATTTCTTTCAGGCACTCAAATTCTGAATGAGATTTCATCTCAAGAAAAAAAAAAAAAAAGTGTAAATGATATATATAGAGAGGAAACCCTGCACTCATCTAGGAGCAGAAAGGTATCAGAAAATGATGAAGCCTTGAGAGGTCTCCTGTCAATGTGACATTAAGAGAGAAAATATTAACAATTTTAACTCATTCCCAGCTTTCTGTTCAGCCTGTGATTATAGTATTTCTTTTCCAGTACTTTTCCCTAACTATAGCACATAAGAGCCAGCACAGATTTTGCTGACTGCTATTTTCCAGTTTACCACAAGTTGTCTCACCTGGTGTCTATGCTACAAACTGTAGTGGTTTACATACTGGTAGCAGTAACAGTAAGAGATTTTATTTATTTTTTCACAGTTGTGAGATTTGCTAAGCATTACCCACGGAACAGGATGAACATCAAATAAACAAATAATAATGCTGTTATTTGACCTAAATTACAGAAAAAAATCCTCCCCATTTTAGTCTAATGACTTCCCTACTTGACAGAAAAACCCAAACAGAGCTTCGTTTATTGCAGTAAGGACTTGAACTAAAATTTGATCTTTCTTGTATTAAAATAGATCTCTCAAGAGTAAGTTAAATCCTATTACTATCAGTGTAACTGGGAAAAATCAGTATGAGAAGGAAAATCATTGTTATTGTCCAGGTTTATTTACCTTTTCCTCAATTTCTTTGAGTTGCCTTTTTTGAAGTTCTATTTTATCTTCTAGTTCTCGAATCCTCTGGAACAAAAAAGTTAAATAGATCTTATAGTATCTACTTCGGAAAACATATGAATCAAAAATATGTTAAATAGCCTTTATTAATGTTGCACTTCCTGCTCAGTTATACTAGACGTGCAGATGGCAGGATTGCTCCACATTTCGTGAAATCTTGGCATTTTAAACAAGCTGTATCTTCATATCATTTTGTTTATTACCAGGTTGTCTAAACTCACCACTCATAAATCATACTTTTAAGATACACACAGAGATAAGGGCAGTTAGCACCAAAATTCCAAGAAGGATGACAAGACTACTTTCTCTGCAACTGCCAGAAGGTTTTTTTTACTTACCTGCACAGTCAACTTATGACACTGTTATATTTTATTTTAACACTCTACTTTCCTTTTCTGTAAAACATGACTATGCTTCTGAGATATTTCTGCTATACCAGAAAAACTAAGCATGCTTAGACTTTCATTTTACCACCAAGATGCCATTCTGACATTCAAACCCTTTATTATGAGGACCCTCTCCCACCAGCGTCGGAGAGAACGTCTCTACTACAGCTCTCCTTAACTTAAAGAGCCTTCTTTGTTCAAAGCATCCCCAAAAATATAATTGTTGTTGGGTCCACACATCTGACCTTATTTCTGTGCCCCTTTCCTTTCTGTAAGTTCCCCTTTCTTTTCTTTTCTTTTCTTTTCTTTTCTTTTCTTTTCTTTTCTTTTCTTTTCTTTTCTTTTCTTTTTCCTTTCCTTTCCTTTCCTTTTCTTTTCTTTTTTTTTCCTTTTCTTTCCTTTTCTTTCCTTTTCTCTTTTCTTTTCTCTTTTCTTTTTTCTTTCCTTTTCTTTTCTTTTCTTTTCTTTTCTCTTCTCTTCTCTTTCCTTTCCTTTTTTCCTTTTCTTTTTTCTTTCCTTTTCTTTTCTCTTCTCTTCTCTTTCCTTTCCTTTTTTTCCTTTTCTTTCCTTTTCTTATCTATAATAAATTTACTGGGCTTCTAGATTATAAGGATGCATTTTATTAGTATGTTTAGTATATTTAGTATGGTTAGTATGTAATAGACTTCATAAAGTTCATAAACTCTTTTTACAGGTAGAAATCTGGGATCTCCTACTAACAGCTTCTGGGAATGAAGGAGCAACTTTTTAAATTATCAGCTCTTTGGAATTAACTGCCTGACCTCTCCCTGGCCTATAATAATTAAGGTTATTAGCAGCTCCTGAACTTTGAAAGGAAAATTATCTTCCAGTCTAATTTCTATGCACACGTTAATAAATTCAATGTAGGAGCTGCTGCACCACTCCCAAATTATTTTATTATTGTTTTATTATTTTATTATTTTATCCATTTGAACAGTATATCTTTCAGAAAAGCAACCAGTCAATATTTATACATCAGTGAGATCAACTGAAGGTTTGAGTCAATCATCTGCTTTCAATTCAAGGACTTCCAATGGTGGGAAATGCCCCACGCTCACAGCAGCTCACGACATTCCCAGCAGCAGCAACTGATCCCATGTCTATTCAGTATTGCTTTAGGAACCACAACAAGTAGGGTTTAACCTTTTGAATCTAACCTGGAGGTATCCAAAAGATGAGGTACATCCACCCCACAGCTCAGCATGCCCACAGCTGTTGCCATGAAAATATTGCAGGCAGGTTGCAAACAATAATCTCGATATTATTGCTGCTTTTTTAAAGAAAAGACTTTGTTTCAATGATTGTTTTGAACACTGTGCAGTTGGAATAAGTTAATCAAAACTTCCCACCATTTCATGCCACATCGCTCAGAGATTTCCCCAGATAAGATATAAATGCACAAACCAGATTGCCCTCACATGACATAAGTGCATACAGCCTTGCTGACAGTAACAAATGCCTGGAGCACAGCTGTATTAATTTCACTTTTCTTCTATTACCTTTGAATTGATTTATACTTCATCTGCTCTCAGCTCATGGCATTTCTATCTCCCAAGCAATCGCTTTCATATACTGTATGTAGCAGGAATATTACAAGCCTGTGAGAAGCCACAGGATATAAACCAGGCAGATGTAATCAGCTCTGAGTTCTCTGCTCTATTAGCTTACACTCTTATTTCTCTCCCACTAATTTCAGTTCTGCTGATACCTATTTACAACTGCATCCCAGACCTGAGTGACAGAATTCAACTCTCTGTGGGTGATGCCATGTTCTATGATAAAATCAGACTGCAGGGAGTTGAGTGGAAAGAAGCAATAACTTTCCATGCCGTTTTTACCTTCAGGATTCATTGTGCGAGATGTTTTTTCAATGTGTGTGGAGAACTATCCTTCCAAAATAGTAAGAACACTAAAAAACTCCAAACATCTGGTGGCTTTCTCACCTCAGGGTTTAGAGCAAGTTTTCTTTTATATAAGAACATTTTAATTAGACAGTATTTTTCAGATTAGGGAATTCTGTTAATTAAGTAAAAATCGAGATGTTATTATTCCCTCATGAATGTTTAATCTTTTCAGAAGATTACAGCTATTCAGTTACTCTCTCAAGTTATTTGGAATAGTTCTAAAAATGATGGCTGAGTTTTCTGTTTTGCAGTTCTCACCTATAACCCATTGTAACTGTTAAGCTTGGTGCAACTACATTAGAGGTGGGTGAAAAGACGTTAGAGTTTTAAGATTAAAAAAAATTATGCATTCCTAAGAATCAGTTTAAATACCAAGGCAATCTAGAAAGTAAAAGGAATACATACAGGGCTACATTTCATATGTGTGAAAGTCTGTTTACAGAAAATCTTCAAAATGATGAGATGTGTGTCAACAGGGCAGACATAAACAGGGTGAATATTGCCTGTAGGGCAGATGTTTCTATATAGATACACAAACATACACACATATATATCTATTAAGAGACCTGTTCCAAGTTTTACACCTAAAAACAACATGCTGAAGATAGGATACAAGTGTTTAAATAGCCATCATTTTCTTTATGTGAATGGAAAAGGCAATGGCAATGGAACACAGAAGACTTAAACTTCAGTCGAGTAATATATTGTACCTTTGCTACAGGAACTACAGTTCAAACCTACAGGACAGAATTTGTTCTAAAAAGAAACAGTGGGCTGGAATTTTCCACCACTGTATAAAAGCTTGGTGCTGTTTATTTGCACGTGCTTGCTCGTGTTGCCCTACAGTGTGGCGAGAGGATTATCCAGGGGGATGAAGTGGGTGTAACTATTGCAGCCAACATCCCATGACTGCACTGGGTCAGCCCAGCTCAGCTATTTACATATCCTGAAATATCTGGTTCAATTCATTACCTATTTCCATTTAATTCAAAAGATGCCTTTAAAAGTACAGAAATAATTTTGCAACGGGAGAAAAACCACAACAAAATCAACAAAGAGATTTAAATTCATGTAGATTAGCTAACACTACAAAATAAACATATTTCCCCTCTGTGCATATCTGCATTTATAGCTTTATCTTGACCATACTGAGATAATAATTTGCAGAATATGACTTTGAAAATACACATAAAGTACATAAAATATAAATAGCTTAAATAAGAGTATCTTCTAGAAACACCAACATGTATTCTACAGTCAAGAGTTATATTAAATCACTGAGAAAGAAAATACAGAAAAAACTACACATCCTAATTAAGACCGAAGTCAGAACTGCTTGATATTCAGTACAAGTGCTTACATCTTTATCTACTCTTCCTTTTATTTGCAAGTGTTAGCAATCAAGAATCTGTGGTCTCACTCTTAGATCCTCATAGCACTTGATTAGTTGTTTTCAACGAACTCTGATTTGTTTATGTTTGCAAAGCACAGTTGTAACAACAAATCATGCAGAAATATTTTATTGTTATCAGGATTTTCCATCTACTATCATGCTATAGCTTTAAGTTGATAAGTCAAGATTTCCTACTAGGTCATACGGAGGCATAAATAGTTCAATACAGTGACAAATTTGATTTTGTGCTTGAACAAGGCAGTTTAAAACCAGTTTAATTTCTACAGAACAACAGACTGTGTAAAGGACCAATAAAATCTATGGTACAGTGCTATTAAAACACTAAGACATCTTGGTTGAGAAGATACCTACAAATTGTTCTCTTATTTTCATTTTTTTTTTTTAGAAGGGGGTGGAAGACAAGGGTGGACAATCTGAAAGCATGACAGTAATTATGTTTCCATGAAAAGCCTTGGTATTGGCCTCAATCAGAGTGGGCATGAGGGACAAAACAAAGTAGCGTTCAAGCTGGGTTCCAGCAGCTCCTATGTTACCACAGTCAATAGCTGCCCATTAGCCCCATGAGTGCTTTCTGGGACTGGCAGGGCTCGTGAGAATAACACTGTGTTGTCAAATCACAAGGCCATAAAAAGGAGTTGCTTTGGCAAACAAAAAGCTGAAAAGAAACAGCACAATGAGAACATAACCGTGAAAAAGAAGAGTGCTCTGCTAGGGTATCGACCCTTAATGCTGTGCTCCACACCTGCATTCACAACCAACCTTCCAAAATATTGAATACAAATCTGCCATTCAACTTGCAAGAGCAAAGAAAAAGCTCACAAAACTTCAGGATGATGGATGGGCAGATTAGTGAATAGTCTGTTACAACCTCACCTGCACGGAGGTCTCCCAAGCATCCATTTTAGTACAGAAAAAAACTACTTGATAAATCATAGTTCCACGAGCAATGAAGTTTGTTGCCACTACACTTCAAGGTCCTGCGAGCAGCCAAAAGGGGGCTGCCAGCCTGCTGCCATCCCAAGGTAACAGCAGATGGCTCTACCAGCCAGGCTATGCTGCAATAGTACAGCTGCTCAGTCAGCAGCCAGGCTCCTCCTGGAAATCCGTTCGCATTTCCAGTAAAGCATAAATATTCTTTGAAGACACTAGTTAAGTGATAAGCATATGACGGAAACTCTGATTAAGTACCAAACACTCAGGGCTGTCAAACTGCCTAAAAGAAGCAAATTGAGTATTTTTCCCAAGCACAAGATTCTTAACATGCATATTTCTTTTAAATGC